CCGCCCCCCCCCCAACATTTGGCCTATGTAGATGGGCCAATTATCGGAAAAGCCTCTTTCAGAAGAAAAGTGGTTCACAATTTGCGTATCTTTTTCCATTAGAACTTTGTAGTCTGGACACAACCAGAGTGTGGAATTGGTATTCATCTACAAATTTGACAGTTTCCCTGGACTTGATCAAAGTCATGAACTGGATGTTGCATTATACCCCCCAACATTTGGCCTATGTAGATGGGCCAATTATCGGAAAAGCCTCTTTCAGAAGAAAAGTGGTTCACAATTTGCGTATCTTTTTCCATTAGAACTTTGTAGTCTGGACACAACCAGAGTGTGGAATTGGTATTCATCTACAAATTTGACAGTTTCCCTGGACTTGATCAAAGTCATGAACTGGATGTTGCATTATAAAGCCAATCTCCCCTGCCTTTAACAACAGAATTTTTACATCCAAAGCTGTTGCATTATACTTCCAGCCCACTTAATTAGCCTCATTAGTACCAGTCCTACAATTGACAGGTACCGTTTTTGCTGATATATATATCTTGGTTTCTGTCATTTCCACTTCACCTTATCTGATGAAGTGGGTTTTACCCACAAAAACTCATCATACTATATATTTATGTTAGTCTCTAAGTTGCCACAGGACTTCTCCTTGTTTTTAAAGTTACAAATTAAAATTAAATTAAATTAAAAATGATACCCCCGATAGTGTAACTTGTTAACTGTAATTGTAATCTATTAAAGTGCTTTAGGATATATACAGTAGCTAAACACTGAGCTCCTGTAAAATATTCTCTATGTAAGAAATCTTTTGTTACTGAAAAGAAGCACAAGTGAGCCAAATAATGGATCTGGAGTGCTAATATACTATATAGTTCAGCTCCTGTTAACATAAAACTGTGTATAATTAGAATTTTCTATCAATACTACTGGGACGTGAGACAAATTCAATTAGGAAAAAAAATAGACTATTGTTCATGCATCACAGCCCCATCCTGAGGGCATGAAGATTAGCAATGGATCAGATTCACTCCTAATATTGAGTTCAGTGGAGTTATGCTAGAGATAAAATTGAGTCTGGTGTGTTGAATGAAGAATGCATGCTGATATTGACAAGCAATGTCCTTCCTTGCTTGGCTGCTTTTTAAAGAAAAAAATTAAGGTCCGTTGTGTCTGTATACTTGTTCCTTACCTTCCCAGAACTATTGAGATCTCTGTCTCTCAGGCCTCACATGCAAGAGCAAGAAAGAAAAAAAACTTGCTATGAGAGCAGATCATTGTTTCCCTAAGGCACATCTACAGTGCATTGAGAAGGTGTGACTACCACTCATGAATAGTAAGTTGGTAAAGCTTTTTGTGGACCCTTCCTCCCCCCCCCAAAAAAATCTAACTACATCTGCCTGATTTGGAATTCATGAAACTTAAGAAAAAAACATAACATTTTATGAAAAGTTTTACATTTGTGAAAAATCTTCACTTTGTGGCCATCTTTGTTGAGAGTGTGGATCCTCACAGAAGCAACGTGATCTGGAACAGGGATTCTGAACTTCTCCCTGGTCCTTCCATCCCCCATGGTATAAAAACTTCACTGCTCATCTGTGCCACAAAACAAAACAAAAATGAAGAACACACACACAAAACCAAGCTGGTTTTCCCTATATAGAAGCCAGGGCTGGCATTAAGAGGTAAGAAGCATGGCAGTTGCACAGGACCCCATGCCACAGGGGGCACCAAAAAGCTAAGTTGTTCAGACTTCAGCTTCAGCCCCAGTGTTTGGGGCTTGGAGCCCTGAACTGCAGTCCTGCACAGCAGGACTTCAGCTTTCTGTCCTGGGCCCTAGTGAGTCTAACGCTGGCCATGCTTGATGGCCTTTTGGAACCTCCTCATGGCTCCTCAGGGGGCCCCAGACACCTGGGTTGAGAAAAGCTGATTGGGATCAGGGACAAAGCTGATAGCCAAGAACTTCGAGTCACATTTCCACGTCTGACTAAGGCTGGTCTTAATATGCTACACTTACATCCAACTGTAACATCCTTAATAGCACAGAAAAAAATTAACTCCATTTTCCTGATGAGGCTCAGAAAGTTTAAATGCCACATCCCAAGACTGGGAACAAAGAAGTCTTGCACTGGTCAAGTCATTTAACCTGTCATGGTTCGCTATCTCTGACAATAATACTGCTAACCTACCTCACAGGTAGGTTAATTAGATAACATTTCTGAACATTGTATTCATTTTTAAAACAGTTATATATACATCTGAGAGTAACATTATTTTCTATTTTATGTTGATGAGATCTATAAAGAGTTTGCTATTCCAAACGTCTAGACTACATCTAGACTACATCCCTTTTACTAAAAAGGGATGTAAATTAGACGTATCGCAATTGCTAATGAAGTGGGGATTTAAATCTCCCCCGCTTCATTAGCATAAAAATGGCTTCCGCTTTTTTTGGCACGCAGCTTTGCCGGAGAAAAGCTCCAGTCTAGATGCTGATCTTGCGGAAAATAAAACCTTTTCCAAAAGATCCCTTATCCCTCTATGAAATAAGGGATAAGGAATTTCCCGAAAGATCCGCGTCTAGACTGGCGCTTTTTTCCAGCAAAGCTCCGTGCCGAAAAAAAGTGGCAGCCATTTTTATGCTAATGAAGAGGGGGAGATTTAAATCCCCACTTCATTAGCAATTGTGATACGTCTAATTTACATCCCTTTTACTAAAAAGGGATGTAGCCTAGACGTAGCCGTAAACTCTTCTCTAAAGGAAGCATGCATAAGAACTTACCAGCTCCAAGAGCTCCTGCAATTTTCCCCTTGCCTTTTCAAAACCAACTCCATGGTTAAAGAAGTTTTCAGGATTTGGCTGAATAGTAATAAAATAAAGATGCCTTACAAAACTTTCCTTTAGTTTAATTGCCACACCAGTTATAGAGCAATTGACCATGTTGTTTCCTTCGGTCCAAATCAGTTCACAAGTCATGCAAACTCAGAAAGGACAAACCTTACATTGGTGACCTTTACATGCTCCTTGCCTACTAAGCAACTGGCAAACCATTTGGCCTCTTACTGCAATCTAAGGAATTTTTTTCCCCAGGTTATCCACAACTTTAAAACATTATATAGTTATTAGCTTATACTACTATTCCAGCATCATCCATCTTACAAATGTCAGCTCTGTTTAGCTCACCTCACACATATTTCCTCCAGGCAAAAATATATTTTATTCAAATTGTGATCTATCAGTGATAACCTGTTCTGAATGCTACCTTGCATTCCATCAGTTCTGCTGACTGCTGCATTTCAATTGTTTAAATGCTCTATTAGCCAAGTTCTAGGATTCCATAGTAATCTATCAGCACAGCCAGAGCAATGAAATTAGAAAATTTCAGAGCACTTAGGAGTTTCAGCCATCTTGTTGTGGAAGGATGTAATTAATGATTTTTTTTTTTTTTTTTTTGGTTACAATACTGTATCAGTCAAGCACACCTACTCCCCCTTCTACCACCCTTACATACCACATCCATAAAGTGGCAACATCCATAATTTGAGGATTTAAGGTTATGCAAAACCAGATGAGTGAGGCAATTAATTGATCAACATTTATTTGATGATAGCACTTGAAAATCATGATCAGAGCTCCACAGTGCTAAGCACTATATGAACTCAAGTAGGCACAAGATCAACAGTCAGGCTTGTCTAGACTGCTTTCCTCTTCTGAAAAAGGAAATGCAAATGAAGCACTGATTAGCATTTTCTCATGCTTCATTTGCATATCCTCTTCTGATCCTTTTTTCGGAAGAGATTTTTGCGCAAACACAATCAGTCTAGACGCAGCTTTTTTGTGCAAAACCCCATTTTTTCAAAAGAACCTTTATTCCTCAAAACCTGTAAACCTCATTTCTTGAGGAATAAAGGTTATTTTGAAAAAAGGTGCATTTGCGCAAAAAAGCTGCATCTAGACTGATTGTGGAATAAAGGTTATTTTGAAAAAAGGTGCATTTGCGCAAAAAAGCCGCATCTAGACTGATTGTGTTTGTGCAAAAACCTCTTCCGAAAAAAGGATATGCAAATGAAACACAAGAAAATGCTAATCAGCACTTCATTTGCATTTCCTCTTTTGAAAGAGGAAAGCAGTCTGGACAATCTACAAGCAGCACATGGAGGAAGAGAAGGGGACAATTAAACATATATATGTAAGCAGGGGCTGAACTACTGCTTGCTATCAGCCAGCTATAAGGAGAGAGCTGTCCTGGGGAGTGATATGCTCCCTCAAATTGTTTAGCTCTGCAAAATAATTAACTGTTAACTGTTGATATGTAAATACAGCTCATGCCGGGATCGGGAAGGAATCCGAGGTGTGGTTATGTAAATCCAATTCAGCCAGGGCTGATGGAGTATCGGTTGTTAGAATGGAATGGAATGTATTGTAACTAATTTGGGCTGTTGTGGGGGTCACAAGTCATGCTACCTCTAAATGTGAGTACCGTAAAATATAACACCAGTGTTTGCAGAAGAGACACCATCATTGTAAGAGGTCTCAGATGAACAAGCCTCCCCCTTCCAGAACTGAGTGAACTCAGTTGGGATAGAGGAAGGGCTTGAGCCAGCCTGCTTCATGCCTGCCAGGTGTGAGCTGTAAGATTGGGTTCAATCTACCTTTCCCCCCCTTGTTTTAAGGATAGATCTAAAGAAGACTCCATCAGGAGTCTTTTTGCTAGTCCAGTGGAAGCTGGAAACTTTTACCAGCCTAGGTGGTGGCTAAAGAGTTGAAATCACTAAGAGCTGAAGTTATTGGTTTGGCCTGGAGCCAGACCAACAGCAGCCAGCAAAGCAGCTGGTGGGAATGACCAGCGGGCAGCTAATAGGAGTGGCGGCAGGTGGCCAGCGGAGCGGCTGGTGGGAACGACCAGTGGGCAGCAGGGGCAGCACACAGGTGGCATCACATCTGGCTCTATGAGAGTGATGTGTCTGGGTCTGCACTTACTGGACAGATCTGTAAGTGGGGTGTTTGAAGCGGGGTTGGACAAAAGACCTCTAGGCAAAACACTTCACCCTGCAGACCCTTGCTCACAGGTTGTTCGTGTTATGGGTTTTTCACTGTTTATGTGTGGTCTTGTTGGTTGATGCTTGCCTATTATGATTAAACAGACTGTTTCCATCTCTGACTCAGTGCTTGCAAGAGGGGAAGAATTTTCCCAGTTTACTGGGTGGGGGCTCGAGCCAGTTTTAGTCACCTTGTTGAAGGGAGTCTCTAGACATTGCACCCAGCCCTTCTAGTTGCCGACTGGTACCGGCCGAAGGGTTACATATATATCAATTACAAAACTTGAAAGATAATTGTATCTGTTAATAAATATTGATAAGGCCCACCTGACTTAACCCAAACATTGGCTGATTTCCTGTAAACACTGCAGACAAAGAGAAATTGAGGAAGGAATTTAAAGAAAGCAGCAAGTTTACAAATCACATCAGAGAGCGCATTCCATGGTTAAGAAATAAAATCCAAAAATATTTGCAAGGGGAGTGGATAAGCAAGCAGTCAACTTGGTGTCACTGGCAGACATGTGATAAGACTAGGTAGAAAGGCAGATTTGTGAAGGATCTTGAAGGCTCTGGAAAAAAACCATTCAATTTTGACAGGGTAAATGTGGGGAAGCCATCCCGAGGATTAAAGTAGTAGCTAACAATGATCATAGCAATGGGCAAGAAAGCAAACAAAACAATTTAGTTATTCGTATCATGTCAGTTCTCTGAATAAGATAATCCTATATCATGTATTCATGACTTAGGAAAATCTGCCATTGTGAGAAATGAACCACAACTCCACATGGACCTGCTTTTGAAGGGTTTTACACACAGACGTTCTGAAATCAAAATATGCTACTTGATTCAAGCTCACTTTAGAGTCTATCAGTGAAAGTATTAGGAGTGTCTTCACAAGGCTAAAGGAGATGGTAGCCAAGCTAAAATCAAATATGAGGTCACATGTTGGCTTCACTCTATTTCACCAGGTGGTCTTTCCAACAAGCCAGTTTTTAGCATCATGACCCCTTACATGCATTACCACAGCAGGAAATACCACAATCTGTGCTGATATATTTATAGAGAAATGAGTGGAAATTTGGAACAATTTTTATTGAACTTAAAGGTGACTGTATTGATTAAATTTCGCCATATGACAAAAATCAAGTAAAATCATGTTTTAAATTGAGTTACAATTGTAATATAAATTATACAGGGAGGGAGAGAGACAGAGAGAAAGAGAAAGAGAAAGTAGACTTGTAAATTGTTTCCTGAAGTCAACAGCACCAACATATTACCTTGGTCAAAGTTCTAGCCCTTACTCTCATTAGGCCTATGTATGTGCCATGGAAGCACTGCTTGGCTGAAGCATAGACAGTTGTGCAATCTGACACATCACAAGTCATCGTGGCTGATGATGGAAAGCTTGATTTCCTAGTTTTCAAATAGTGTAAAATATTTGCTTCTGTATCTGGCATGTCAGAAGGACATCCATTCTCACCATCATCCCATGTCCCTTCCTCCCTTTCCATTCTCCAGTCCCTTTTCATCCCAGTATGATTTCAGAATGGAAATAAATAAATTTTCATCACTTGAAATTTTGTCATAATGGAAAACATATCTCTCAGATGGTAGCAGTAGCACTCAAGTCAAAGTCACTTATCTTTAGCATAAAGGCATGTGCAAAACAGATATTTA